GAAAGTGACGAAATAAAGTTCTCTTCGGAGTTTGATAAATGCAAGGCTATACATGTCTATGCGCCTTATACAAAATCTTTGATCGATAACGTTGTATAGTTGTTATACAATGTATATTTTATGTAACCATTCAATAAAACGACAAAAAGAGTGGTATGAGAAATGGTGTTAATATTTTTAATGTACAATCGTTTTATATCAATTTTTCTTATTACGTTTAAATATATCGTCATCCTATACCGCTATTTTCTACTATATCATATCTACTATAAAAAAAAAAAATCTTATATGCATAATTATTGGAGATATCACAGAGATATCGGACCAATAACTTCTCCGAGATATCAAACTTGAAATATTTGCTACGATATATAACTAATGAAAACAGATTTATAATCTAAACTACAAATTAACAGCTATATCTCCGATATTGTTGTATAGATGATTATTGACCAAGTTTGAAATCTTTGGTACGATATCTCCGCAGTATCTTCATTAATAGTTATCAACTACTGATTCTAACTATTAGATAATATATAGATTTGAAACCGGGAATCATATCTATGACTACGACTAAATTAATTAGCTCATTCGTTATTGAATTTTATTTATAAATTATGTATCATCATAATTTGTTTCAAAATTTGGTATTCTAGAAAAAAATACATACTTTAAAGGGTTCATAGGGGTCGAAACCGAGATAGAAAATTGGTCATCATTAGCCTAATAAAATCAAGTCAAAATTAAAATATGTACGAACTCATAGACATTTGTTTTTTAATTTCTAAAAGGGAAGAATTGAAAGAAATAAAGGTTTACACCATCAGTCCCTCCGAATCAAAGTTTTGAAGCAACAAACTATGACGATTCATGAGTTCGAAAAGTACACAAACTGAATATAGCTTCATCAATTGGAAAAGTAGGACCATGCAGGAGCACACGCTAGTTCTTCGTTTCACTTCGAACATCCATCTGAATCACATGTAAATATTTTTAAAATTATGAGTAAACAAATATAAGAAAGTATAAAAGATCGAGTGTAAATCCAGGATCTTTGAGTCCTTGGTGACTCGCCTAAAAGCCCAAGCGGCTTCGTCACACGCGTTAGAAGAAAATATAAGGACAATATCGGTAGTATCCGATTCCTTACAACAGACTCGACCTTTTCATTAGGTTCAAAGGTTTCCAAACCTCATGGTTTACCCCATGACACTTCATTTCTTCCCCAAAGATTTGATGTTATCTACTTTAGCTTTTTTATTGGCAACGATTGCCCTTGTTACCGAAACAATCTCTTAAGTTTTAATGGAAGTTTGTTTATTGACAAAAAAAAAAAAAAGTATCCGAACCATTATCCACATAAAGATTGCAATATTTTCAAGTAGATCTATATTGTGATGTGGTGCAAATGTAGACATATCTTGTTTGACATAGAATTAATTGTAATATTAATAATTAAGAATGATAAGGATGTTCTCCCATGCACAAGCCCGTAGATAATGATACACATCCACAATTACAACTCAATTAAAAAAATATATATGCACCCTTGTAATTGTCATAAAACAACTCATATTACATTCACTATGCATAATATATACAAAAATCATCAATTTTTTTTATAAGAAAACTACGAAGAAAGTTAACAAAGATGCAAATTAAAAGATATAAAACGTGATTGGAAACTAGTTACCATTGAAGTACTGTACGTACCATTAATCACGTAAAGATTTGCAATTTTTTTTGTTGGATCTATATAGTGGCTGTGGAGCTATGTCAACTGCGCTTTCCATGGGAGCATATCTTGTCAGACATAGAATTGACTGTGATAAGAATGACAAGGATATTCCCATGGATAGTCCAGTAGACGATAATGCACAGCCACAATTACGATTCAATAGAAAAATTAACATCCTTGATCTCATAGCAAT